CAGGAAGGCTGAAGTTTGGCTGGTCTGTGGTTCTTAACAGTAGCAGTGGGTCTTCTTGGAGTAATGGCTTTTCTTAAAGGAGGCACCAGTTCAACAAAAGTATTTGCATTTATAACTATAGGCCTCATCAGGAGGTGTATCCCATTTCACAATATTCAGCACGTGTTCAAATTCTGCCCTGAATCAGGACCTAGTTTATGAGTGGTGGTCAAAGGCCTCGTCTATGCTCCCCTCTCCCCTTTGATAGTTTTCCTCAACATGGCGCATCAACCTGCTTCTCTGATGTTTTCAACTCAGCCAGGTGGCGTCAAAACCTTTCCCTTCCTTCCCAGAGCATTGTTTAACCCTCACATCATGCTCTTCCCCCCAACGTAATGCACTATCCTAGTTGCTCATCACATTTAGTGTGTAAATGTATTTTCTCCATGGGGATGCTGAGAAGTTAATATTTATAGTACTGCTAATCCATTATAGAAGAAAAACCTCTGAGCTAAGAATGTTTGTATTGCCTTTACCCTCTTGATTTCTTGTCAGTGCTCCTTTAAAGAAGAGAGAAGTAGTTGGCCATGTTAGTCTGAAGTCAGGCAGAGGGAAGGGTGGAAAACAGAAATGTTATCTGCAAGGGTTTTTGTTTTGTTTTTTAATTATGATTTAAGGTTGCAACTTTCCTCAGATTTTGTCATCGCCTTAACAAGGTCGCTGTTACATTAGAGAGTGTAATAAGTTAGCACAGAAGAGAACAGATAGCTCTGTTGTGGAGAGTTATTTCTACTCTGAACTGCATCGTTATCCTTTTGGCTACTAATAAGATTAGGTTGTGCTGGCGTACTGGCTTTTTAAGGCTGCATAACAGTTTTAATAAGATATGTTCTATTACTTCAGTCAGTGTTGCTCTTATTTTAAGCTTTACTTTCGACTTCCTGTGTCCTCTTTGTTTGCCATTAGTAGTACCGTGCATCTGACAATTAGCATCCTGACTGCCCAATACTTTACCAAATATGGCCACTCACAGCAAAGTAGCTCTTGTAATTTGATATATGATTGGCTACACGCCTGCTTAGCACAGTCCACAGACCTCAGCAGGTAGACTTTGTGCTGATTTTGCTCCAGGATGTATTTAGAAAGAAAACATGAGTTTAATTATTCCACATAACACGACCCCCTCACCGCTGGCTGTGGTGGGACTGGGAATAGCCACTTTCCATCTCAGTGACACGTTAGAGGTTTACCCTTTAACAGAGTTAGAATGAATGTGCCATAAATGTGAAATGTAAAAAGAGACAGTGCAGCGCAGAACACTGAGCTAATGGAAAAACATCTGCTCCCCTGAGTTATGTACAGCAAAAGCTTCCCTCCGCCCCCTCCACAAAATGCTTCTAACTTATTTATTTTATTCATTATGAGAAAAAGGAGCTACGTTAGAGGAAACAAGAAAAAGTGGGGTTAAGGAGTGGGATTCTTAGCCACAACTGGCCAGCATCCACACAGCTGCATCAGAGATGCCACTTGCCAGTGTCAGAAGGGTCTCTTGCTCCCAGACATTCAAGTACATAATTTCACTTATCACACCAAGCAGTATTTATGTACTCTTCCCTCCCTGCTCTTCAGTAACCTCAAGTTCCCTCAAGCATTATCTCTGTTGAAGTGTAGATTAGGTTTATAAGACTGACTTACCAGTTTTTGCATAGGTCACTAGATATTATCTTACAGTGCAGTGATGCTTGTTTAAATATTTTGGTTTAAAATAAAGGAAGTGCTTTGCAATTTAAGAAGTGTCCATTCATCACTTGAATTCTTCAGCTTTTTCAGTGCTACTGATTTGCTGGGTGTACTTTACAGTGACATAAAATAGATAAATAGAAGAAGTTGGAGCCGGGAGCAGGGAAGGACTTGTGCTGAACATCAGAGTGTTTACTATAAAGCAAGTATTGAGTGAAACAAAGATATTTACTGTAAGGAAGGCTGCCCCATGGTATTTACTTAATGGGAGGGCATCTTAAAGTTTCACATTGGTGGAAAGAACAATCATGTGAGGTGCCTGCATCCCCCATGAAATGTTGATGAAAGAAAGAGGCCAGCTTAAGTATCAGTGAGTCTTTCAGTTA